ATGAGTCCTTCAGGACTGTAGTGGACACTGAATACACTAGCCTAGCTATCAATTTCCCTATCAAATCAGCAGCAGCTACACTGTCCCTCCTCTCACTAAGAATGCAGCTTCACAATGAATGTAAAATGGATGCTGTCCAGGAGGTGGGAGGGTCTGGGAGGGAGGGTCTGCTGCTGATTGGCTGGAATGTGTCTGCTGACTGTGAGGTACAGGGTCAAAGTTTACTCAATGATGACAAATAGGGGGCGGACAGAACAGCGCATATGTTCGCCGTCCGTGGCGAACGCGAACAAGCGATGTTCGCCAGGAAATATTCGCCAGCGAACCGTTCGGGACATCACTATTTATGAAGTGTCAATAAACAGCTGTAAAAGCCCACCATGTTGTAGCTAAGAACGTATACTAGAAGTTATTTTCTTTCTTCTTTCTATAAATTTTCTCTTCGATGTATTAATGATTATCTTCATAATCCAACAAGAAATCATTAAGCTTCCTAGTAGATCTTGTAAAAAAGGGAAGCGTATCCTCGAATTCGATTTTTAATGTACTATGATCTAAAAATACATTATCAAGGATTTCCACTTTTTTTTACTTTATTAATAAGCTTCAAATTTCCCCATATCAGATCAATTCTGGAAGACGAAATATGAACTCTAGAGAGATATGTAAAAACTCTAGCATATGGATGATATAAAATGGAATTAAAATCTCCTGCAATTATACAAATCCCTGTTTTAACTTCTTCTATTGTATCAATTTTTTTTCAATAATCCTATTTATACTTGTAAGATATTAACTAGTGTATACTTCATTGCTTGAACAAATAATAATAATATAACGCACCTTATCTAAATACATCTAAATCCTTATTAAATATTGAAATAGTATATCTCCTTGCAATGTATCTGGAAAAAGTAGAACTACTCCACATTGTTTTTTATCTTGTTTAGATGCATGTATAATTTTTGGATACTTCCTAGATGTCCAGGCTGTTTTATCCGAATTTCTTTAGTGTGTTTTTCAGAGATGCCTTTTGGTTTTAAAAGTCTATGCCAACGGATCCTGTCCAGTGGGACAATTTATTAAATAATTTATTGTAAATTTATTGTAAGCGCTGCAAAATACGCTGGCATTATATAAATACCAATAATAATAATAATATTAAATAAGCCGTGTAAGAATTCTCAATACTTGCCACAGCTCACTTCTTCGGCGATATTTTGAAATCTTGAATTATGCCTTCTTGTACGATCTTCCAAATCTCCCAGTTTTAATTTGGGAATCAAGAAGCTTTTGATCAAAGATTTGTTGCAAAGTTTTTAAAGCAATAAATTGCACCTACATACTGCTTGTCTTCCCTTCCAAAGAATTGTAGCTATTCGCCAAAACGTATATCTCCTTTTTTATTTCAGCTGCACCTGTTTTTATTTCTCCCTTTTACATAGAAACATAGAAACATAGAATGTGACGGTAGATATGAACCATTCGGCCCATCTAGTCTGCCCAATTTTAAATATACTTTAATTAGCGCCTGGCCTTATCTTATAGTTAGGATAGCCTTATGCCTATCCCACGCATGCTTAAACGCCTTTACTGTGTTAACCTCTACCACTTCAGCTGGAAGGCTATTCCATGCATCCACACCCCTCTCAGTAAGGTAATACTTCCTGATATAATTTTTTAATTTTTTTTAAATTCTTTAATTTGTCTCAGAAAAACACGGGAGACATTTCAGAGGATTAAACATCTCAGCATGGACAAAAAAGATATATAGTTGCATAAAGAAAACACATAGAGGAACATGTGCAAGGCAATAGACACCAGAAAGGGTATGCAGATATCACTTTTGGTACTAGAATTTCAGTAGTTAGACAGTGTTCCAGTACCCCTAGGTAAGGGTACTGTATGTTGTCTAGGTCGCTAGTGATACTTTTAAAGAAGCAGATTTCAAGGTGCAAGCGATATACCTTACAATGTATATAGTCACGCCAAGGTTCGTCTGAGTTTTTGAGGAGTTTCGAGGAGAATGATAAAATAATCCCAAAAGATGGGAGAGTGTGAGAAAAGTAAAGAAGAGAGTATAGAGAAAAGGGGTGGAGGGGGGAAGGATCTCCGGTCTGCGCCTACCTGTGGGACATCCATTAGCCTTCTAGGCAAAGGATCCCACGCTTTGGTGAAGGTCTTCAAGGACCCTTGTACATGGGCTGTTAGTTTGTTAATGAGATATTGTTCTTTACGTTTAGGAATAACTGTGTTCGTGGAAGGTGTAGGGGATTTCAACCAGTCTTTAGGGATAATTTGGGAAATGAGAGCGTTGACTTCTTTCCAAAATTTAGAGACCTTCGGGCAGCTCCACCACATGTGTGTATAAGTTCCCCTGGACCTGCAGTCTCTCCAACAGAGATCCATGGGGGTCTTTTTCATGTGATATAATTTCACACGTGTGGTATACCATATAAAACATAATTTTGTAAGATTGTTCTTGCATTGTGACACAGATGGAGGTAATAGAGTTTGCTTTCCAGATATCATGCCAGTCAACCCCTTCCAAGGTCTCGCCTAGTTCGGATTCCCACTTGTCTGTGTAGTGAAGGTCTCATAGAAACATAGAAACATAGAATGTAATGGCAGATAAGAACCATTCGGCCCATCTAGTCTACCCAATTTTCTAAATACTTTCATTAGTCCCTGCCCTTATGCCTATCCCACGCATGCTTAAACTCATTTACTGTTTTAACCTCTACCACTTCAGCTGGAAGGCTATTCCATGCATCCACTACCCTCTCAGTAAAATAATACTTCTTGATATTATTTTTAAACCTTTGCCCCTCTAATTTAAGATTTATGTCCTCTTGTTGTGGTAGTTTTTCTTCTTTTAAATATAGTCTCCTCCTTTACTGTGTTGATTCCCTTTATGTATTTAAATGTTTCTATCATATCCCCCCTGTCTCGTCTTTCCTCCAAGCTATACATGTTAAGTTCCTTTACCTTTCCTTGCAAGTTTTATCCTGCAATCCATGAACCAGTTTAGTAGCCCTTCTCTGAACCCTCTCTAAAGTATCAATATCCTTCTGAATACGGTCTCCAGTACTGTGCACAATACTCCAAGTGAGGTCTCACCAGTGTTCTGTACAATGGCATGAGCACTTCCCTCTTTCTACTACTAATACCTCTCCCTATACAACCAAGCATTCTGCTAGCATTTCCTGCTGCTCTATTACATTTTCTGCCTACCTTTAAGTCATCAGAAATAATCACCCCTAAATCCCTTTCCTCATATGTTGAGGTTAGAACTCTATCAAATATTCTGTACTCTGCCCTTGGGTTTCTACGTCCAAGATGCATTATCTTGCACTTATCCACTTTAAATGTCAGCTGCCACTCTTTGTCCTGGAGGCCTATAAAACCACACCTACACGAGGAGAATTGTGTGATTACCAAATTTTAACGTAACCCAAATGGACTCGCCACACTAACTTTCATTAGGCTGGATTTTATGCTACCCTTCACATTCAGGGCCACTCCTCCCCCTTTCTTGCTTTTTCTGTCTTTTCTATATAAAGAGTACCCTGGTATTGCTATGTCCCAGTCATTTTTCTCTTTATGCCATGTCTCAGTAACAGCGACTAAATCTACTATATCAGTTGCCATTATTGCCACAAGTTTATGCATCTTATTCCCTAAACTGCAAGCATTTGTAGACATGACTCTAAGATTATCATTTTTTAACACACTTGCTACAGGCACCTTGTGTCCTTGTTTTGGGGGGCAATTCGATTGATGTTTTATCACCTTTTGCCCCCCCCCCAATTTAAATACATCCTAGCAAAACCTCTAAACTGCTCCCTGAGAACATTTGTTCCCTTTTGAGAAAGATGCAAACCATCTTTTTTGTACAGTTTATTTCCATTCCAAACAGAGCTACCATGAAAAATTAAGCCAAATCCTTGCTCCCGACACCATTCACCAAGCCACATCTTAAAGTCACTAATACGGAAGTAAGATAATTTATATAATTTTATTATTTAGTGGGGGTGTTATGGGCAAATGCAAATATTACAAGTTTTAGAATGAAATGTTGTATTTCTTTCAACTGTGTACTTTGTCTTTAAGAGATATTGCAAACTGACAAGGTGTTAGAAATGGAACATATTGTTTTTCATAGATGTTTCTTTAAGCAATAACCTCAGTGCATAATATGTTTGCGCCATTAGGTATAAATAGGTGTACTTTTAAATGATAAGACACAGAGGAGAGACTTGGAGACAGACGCTGCTCCATCTTAAAATGACAGAGAGGCTGACATGATGACATGTTCAGAAGGGTATGTTAACCTATTAATGATATTTGCAAGCATTTAATTTAATCTTATAAACTGTGCTATAATGGATTTTATAATTATATTTTTATATAATAAATATCCAAAAAGACAAAACTATTGCTTCCAAGACAATCCTTATTTTATATTGTATTCTCAATTATTTATATATGTTAAATAGAGGATCTCTTACTAACTATATAAAATTATGGCTAAGATATCTGTATGGTTAGCCCTACTAAGTTCTATGCTTTAAGACATTATAGTGGTAAATAAGGGAACCACCTGCGGTTACAGGGGGGAGGGGGAATTTGAAGCCAGTGGGCTAAAAGTGATTGTCACGTTGGATGGACTACTGTGAAGTGGAGCGAAAGTTCAGCATGTTTGAGAGCATGGCACATGTCGAGTTAACAATAATAAAGAGAAAAAACATCAATAGAATTCAAAGCCAGAAAACATAAGAACAAATAAAAGAGAGGCACATAAACTAATAATAGGTTGCGTAGCGGTCTGTGGGTTAGTCAAGAAACCGGTGCTGATGAGGGCTCTCTCCGGCGGGCCACCAGTATGAATGGTGTGACTCTTTTTGGGTCTCAGGAAGTAGTTGTTGTCAGGGGCTAAGACCCAGTAGCCAGACCAAGTTGTCGCAGGGTATTGACTATCTCAGAGGCTTCACAAACCTTCAATGTGCCAGAGTCCCGAGGTATGAGTAAGCAGTGAGGCGCACCCCATTTATACGGCACCTGGCTAGTGCCAGTGTGAGAGGTCTCAAAGAACATTGCCAGTCCATGGTTGCTTTAGATAAGTCGTGATAAAAGGTTAGGGTATGATTTTCAAACTGGAGAGGTGACATGTTATGAACTGCTGCCATAAAGGCCATTCGAATGTGGTTCAACTGGAAGTGTAGGATTATATCCCTTCCCACTCCTGATGCACCAGTGGTGGGTGCTAGGATGCGGTACCAAGGATCTATGGGCAAGGTTTTGGCTTGTTTTCCCGAAAATAGCATAGTTAGCATTTCTGTGTGATAGTTCTCCTGTGTCAATGGTTTCAGGTAGGCCATAAACTTTAATGTTCTTCCATCGCCGTTTGTCCTCTATAGCTGCCATGCGGTCTTGAGTTTGCATTTTTGTGCTCTGTAGCGTGGCAAGCTTCTGTTCTAAGACCCCACTTATCTCCTCCTGGAACTGCCCAATGTCCGCTGTGATGTTGTAGAATAGGGGCCATGACAGGCCTCTGCGTAGAGTGCGGCCTCCAAAGCAGCTCACCAATATCTGCCGTCATAGGGGGTCGATTGGGCTCACACTTCTTGCTCCGACGCCCCATGTCTTCAGGCAGGTATCAGGTGAGATAAGTGTGGATTTAATACCAAATCTCCCGCTTTTCCAGCAATGTGTGTCTGGACAGTATGGCTGCCGGCTCCACTCCCCCTTTTTATGCTTTTAAGTTAAGTTCTTTTTAATTTTCTGTTCTTCCTGGCATGCTAATATGTCAAAGTACTCACCTGCTACTAATACCCTGGAAGGATCGATTGTACCTCCCAAACGCTAATACCTGAACAGTGTCTACTGCTCCACTAAATTGTTTGCTTTTTAATTTTCTTTTTATATATATTTATTTATATACTGAAATACTGACTCCTAGAGCTACATATCAATCAGTGTGGATTGTACCACTGTATGCTGCTTTAATCAGAGCTGGTTTTAAAGAGCTATCAAATGTGAGTGCTATACCATAAATTTTCTTTGTGTCCTGCACCTAGCACTAGAGACTCTGCACCATAATTGTTTTCTTTCTGTTTTATTACATATATTTCCAATTACCTAATGTCTGGATGATTACTAGCGAAGAATATTCCAAGCATTGGATGTCTGATTGGAATTTTTATTTGGCACAACCGGTATTTCTATTTTGTATTGTCTTGCTCTCTATTTATCAGTAAGGGATTGAGGATTTTCTTTACTACCAATGTTTGCAGCCTATCTGAATACTCACCTAAAGTACATTTTTTTTAAGCGCATATCCTACTTTCTATTGTTGGTATATATTTATATGGTAGTAGACATATATATGGAAAGGAAAAAGTTTATTAATGGTATCAGTACTCACTATTATTATTTTCGATCATATGACAATTAAAACCACTAGCTATCCAACTGGGAAAAAAAAATATATACAAAATATGGATTAATAATTAATAATTCATAATGTAAGAATACATATAATTGAATGGTTTTCAAGATTTAATTTTGCATGATGGGAGGAAGTGGTTGAATGATATATCAGACTGCCCTTAAGGCAACTCATTCCTGCCCTCCTGATCTTTACATGTGCTAGTACTCTTCTTTCGAATGTGGATATGGTAAGACTTATTATAGGTATCTTATGCACCCATTTAAACATGGACTTAGTCTTGCACTATTCTCAAAAAATATAAATTTTTAAATTATAAGTGCAAACAGCAACACCTTATTCCAAAAATTAAAAAATAAATTAGGGTATGTGAGACCCCAGCCTGTAAATTAAATGCTCCCTCAATATTAACGCATATTACCAGACAGGTCTTGTATTTGTGTAGGAGGATGTTCCCACTGTTATTGTAATGTAATAGCCCCCACCCGCTTTCATCAAAATGTTCTTTAGTCTAAAGACTCCCACTCAATGACAGGTCCCCTCTGTATGTTATTAGTGACGGGCCAATGGATGCTTGCTTTTTAGTGGATATGACCCTACACACGTACTAATATTGGGGTCATATTGACCCTCACATTTACTTTTGTTTATTTTTTTCTAATGACTAACAAGGTTAGATAGATAGAAAAACGGATATATAAAAGTACTTTCGAAGAACTGTTGAGTAACTGAACCCTTCTTTGAGTTTGGCTGCTAGAATTTCGCCTGCAGTTAAATCCAGTACAAATTCAATAAAAATATAATCCAAAGCCAGTCAATATTTTCTGAAAAAATGGCATCAAGTCCTAAGTAAGGAATGAAACCAGCAGATAATTTCAGGTGACCTAGATATTGATCTCTTTCCTTAAGGAACATATCATAATTAATATTTCAAAATAAATGTCAGAATTCTATTTTTATTTAAGTACAGTGTTAGAAAAGACAACCAAAACAATGAGAAATACTTTCCTGGGTTTCCAACTCTGGCATATATTTTTGGGTGTATATGATTTATATGCTAACAAGGAGTGATTGAAAAGTCTTACCTAGCACTAGGTAGAACGTGTTTGTTGTCAAAGTGAAAATAATTAGTTATGAAAAGGTATTTTGTTAGATATATATTTAAGAAACAATATAATATTTTTTTAATAAAAATGTATCGTTTTCGTCATTACTTTTAAAGAGATTTGGTTTTAATTTAACTAATTCCTGCTTCTATTTGTTTTCTGTTTTATTAAAGATCAGTCATGCTACAATACTTGCATGTCTTTAGTCCACATCTGAATGATTGTCATTGTTCCCATATCTTGACACATCATTGCAGATAAACACTGTCGCACATTGTAAATTAAATTACACTGTACTTGGTTTTTGAAATCTTACAGTTGACATTATAATGTGTAGGCTTCTAAAACTACGAACTTTTTTGATCTTCTGATAACTGAAGTGTTCCCACATCAATGGAAACAATTTAATTTGTACTATATATATATATATATTTTTTTAAATTAATTAAATTTATTTATTTTTGACATTGTGGCAGGCTCATGCAATATATTATTATTATTATTGCCATTTATATAGCGCCAACAGATTCCATAGCGCTTTACAATATATGATCATATAATGTAACTAAACCCCCATAATATTTTGCCTAGGTGAGGTGTTTTTAACCCCTTAAGGACCGAGGACGGTTCAGGACCGTCATCGGCATTTTTGCGTTGCCGACCGATGACGGTCCTGAACCGTCCTAACGGTCAGAGCTACTTACCTGATCGCCGTCGTTCCCCCGGCGGCGATCAGCGTGGCTCCGGTTGTGGGGAGACTGCCTGCAGCCCAGACAGTCTCCCCACGGCAGATTAGGACCCCTGTGGCCATGTGATCGCTTAACACAGCGATCACATGGTCACAATAGGTGTCCATGTGTCTGCCTGCAGGGGGACTGCCTGTGCTGACAGGCAGTCTCCCTGCTAGTGTAAAATCAAAAATAAAATAAAGTTAGTGTTAATAAAAAAAATAAAAATAATTATATATGTGTATATATGATATATAGACATATATTATACCTATATAATATATGTCTATATATCATATATATATAATGTCATACTAAGTGTATTTTTATATTAATATGTACTTATATTAATATAAAAATACACTTATAATTAAATTACACACGTATATATATAATATATATAATAACTATATATATTGTATATATATATTATTATAAAATATAAATAATAAGTAATTTAAATTAAATACATTTTTTTTTAAATAATAATAAAAAATTTAAAAAAAATTATATAGCTATATGAAATTTTATTCTAACTGTATTTTAAAATTAATATATATATATATTTATATCAAAATACACTTAGAATGAATTTGTATATATATCTATGTATATAAAAATAAATAAAAATAATAAGAAATATACATACGTCCATATACAAAATTACATAAATAATTATATAAATATACACGTAGACTTCAAATATATAAATATGCATATATATTTAAATTCTACGTGCGTATTTATGTAATATTTTTACATAATTCAGTAATTTTATTGATTGCAATTTGAGGGACCTGCCTGCCAACCCAGGCCGAAATTCCAGAGAATTTAATTTGCTAACACTGTATTTTACCCTGTAACGTTCTACGACACCCTAAAACCTGTACATGGGGGGTACTGTTTTACTCGGGAGACTTCGCTGAACACAAATATTAGTGATTCAAAACAGTAAAACATATCACAGCGATGATATTGTCAGTGAAAGTGACTTTTTTTGCATTTTTCACACACAAACAGCACTTTTACTGATGATATAATTGTTGTGATACGTTTTCCAGTTTTTAAACACTAATATTTGTGTTCAGCGATGTCTCCCGAGTAAAACAGTACCCCCCATGTACAGGTTTTATAGCATTTTTGAAAGTTACAAGGTCAAATATATGGGTCAAATATTTTTACATTGAAAATGGCCAGGTTGGTTACGTTGCCTTTGAGAGCGTATGGTAGCCCAGGAATGAGAATTACCCCCATGATGGCATACCATTTGCAAAAGAAGACAACCCAAGGTATTGCAAATGGGGTATGTCCAGTCTTTTTTAGTAACCACTTGGTCACAAACACTGGCCAAAATTAGCGTTCAATTTAGTTTTTTTACTTTTTTCACACACAAACAAATATGAATGCTTACTTTGGCCAGTGTTTTCGACTAAGTGGCTACTAAAAAAGACTGGACATACCCCATATTGAATACCCTGGGTTGTCTACTTTAAAAAAAATATGTACATGTGGGGTGTTATTCAGAGATTTATGACAGATAATAGTGTTACAATGTCACTATTGATAAATTTTAAAATGTATGTTTTGAAACCGCAATATCCTACTTGTACCTATAGCCCTATAACATGCAAAAAAAAGCAAAAAAGCACGTAAACACTAGGTATTTTTAAACTCAGGACAAAATTTTGAATCTATTTAGCAGTTTTTTTCATTCGCTTTTGTAGATGAGTAAAAGATTTTTCAAGTAAAAGTCAAAAAACATGTATTTTTTTAAATTTTTCATCAGATTTTTGTATTTTTTTTAAATTAAAATACATGAGATATATATATATATATATATATATATATATATATATTTTTTTTTTTTTTTAAATTAATTAAATTTATTTATTTTTTACATTGTGGCAGGCTCATGCAATATATTATTATTATTATTGCCATTTATATAGCGCCAACAGATTCCATAGCGCTTTACAATATATGATCATATAATGTAACTAAGCCCCCATAATATTTTGCCTAGGTGAGGTGTTTTTAAATAAAACTGCTACAATCTATAAGATTTGAAATCATTGTTTAGTGAATAAGCGAGTGCG